TAAGAAAATAAAACCATTAGGAACCGTTTTCTTATGACATAACGTCGAGGGAAGGGGAGGGTCAGCAAGAAAAGAACAATAGAAATTCCTGGAAATCCATTGTCCTTTTATGAAAAATGACCGTTAATTTTGGACATCATAAGTGAATTATTCCTTTAGAAAAATGTATTTCTTTCAACATGTACCTATGAAGTTTTAAATAGTTTCAAATAAAAAGTCCCAAGTTTCAAAGAGAGGAATAGCATTATTTTTATCATTTTGTTCCTTATCAATTAACTATTGTTTAAAAGCAGGAAAAACTATTAAAAAACAATGAATAGTTTTAATTTTTATCTTAAATTATTTTTAGTTTTCCTATTTGCTATTTTATCATGATTTAGTTTTCATATAAAATAGTCTGAGTTTTTGAGAATCTGTTAGTACTTCAGCGAATTTTTACGTTCAAGGGTATCCATTATTTAATTTCTGTGTCAAAATGAAGTGTGAGTGAAATTATTAAAAGAGTGATAAATAAAAATAAATTAAATTTTTATGTTTTGTGTTACTAGACCTAGTACTATTGTGCTTGATTTCTGCTGCATTTGCAATCGAAGATGAAATCGTTTCAGCAGAGGAAAATGATGTTCAATCAGCTCAATATATGATGATGATGCCAAACATGGGCATGGGAATGGGTATGGGTATGATGGGTGGTATGAATTCAATGAATCCATCAGCAATGTCACGCAATCAATTTCCAGTTGACTACAGTAAGAATCTTTATATAAAATAAGATATTAAGGAAATATTATAATTGAATATTAATTTATTTTAAAGGCATGGGATGTTCAAGTTCATGCTCTTGTATGACTCGTTGTCAAATCATGTGGTGGATGCCTTGCATGCCATGCATGTGTCCTCCAACTTGTGGAACGACCCCCGACGAAGTAAGACTTTTTTATGAATATATTTGAATTTTAAAATTTTATAATTTTTTTAAATTTAAAGTCAGAAGTTCCAACAACGACGGAAACACCTACGACTACAACACCAACAAGTATAAATTCAAAACATAATTATTTTTAATATACAGGTTTAATATTTTTAAAAATTAATTTTCAGCTACAACTACGACAGTAGCAACAACGACGACTCGACCGTAAGTTACTAAAATCAGGTTCATTCATAAATGACGTCTTTTAGTAATTAAGATTTTCATACCCAGTTATCTTTATGCCTCAAAATTTTGTTATAAAAATCATAAAGAGGCAGATCCTCCTGCTTATTCTGCAACAAAAATTAAACATCATTTATGAATGACCCAAAAACATTTTTTCTTAAAAAATATATTATTTTAAACTTAATTAATTAGAAATAACTGTGGATGCTGCAGTGGATGCAGCTGTCAACCTTGTGCAGTTTGGTGGATGTGCCCTCCAAGATGCCCAACAAACTGCTGTTCAAATAACTGCAACTGCAATCCGTAAGATATTAATTTTTCAAAAAATAAGTTTAGTTTAAATGAGTTTTTCAATTTATTCAGACCACCAACTCCACCTCCATCATGCTGTTCATGCCCAACTTGCGTTCCATGGTGAGACATTCTTTAAATTTGCTATATTACAAATTAATTTATGCTTAAAAATAGGATGCCATGCTCTCCATGTAGATGTACATCCAATTGTTGCCCAGGATCTAATTGCTGCACTGGAAGTGGATGTACAACAAATGTGGTAGAAAAAGAAATCGAAAAAATTGAAAAAGAACCAGAATTCGAACCAAGATACCCAAGATTGGAAGAAATTAGAGATCGAATGAGAAATGGACTTGAAAACTATGTTCCAAACCAACAAATCAGAGGATAAATTGAATCAGATACTTTTGTAGTTCTCAATAATTTTCTTGCAAAAGTTCATTTTAAGTGTTAAAAATAAAATGTTATCAGAAGTTACAATATTTGCCTTTATAAATATTCAAATAAAAGTAATGCCTTTAGATATCAACAAATCAAAAAATAGTCCATAGGAATTTACAACATCAGTTTTAATAATCTTATCATATTACATTATTGTAAAATGATATGTTGAACACAATTTCTGACTTACAAATTATTGTTCAGGAAGTAGTGTCGGGTGTGTTTACTGACAACAAGAAATATTATGTTCAAACGTTTCCAAACATATACACTTACTATATTGTGTGTGAAATGAGAGTAGCTCAAGAGTTGAAATTTGTCATGACACAATGAATTCTTTTCTTCTGTTCTGTTCGTTTTCACAAACAAAAGGATGATGATAAAGGCATATTTGAAGTATTTAAGCTGTTAAATTCTCTTTTGTTATTTAAGGAAAAAATTGTGAATGAAAATGAGTAACACTCAACAAATGGGATTTTTCAGGAAAAAAAAGTTTATCTCAAAATATGTTTTTTCATGAAAATTCATTTAAAAACTTTCTGACCAAAATTATTCTGATTTGAGGTAAAACTTTAAGTAATTAATGACTTTATGACTATTAATGATCTTATTAAAAGTCAGAATAATAGCAAATGTTACAATTTTCCGGAAGGAAAAACACCCATCATTAAAGTTTCTCCATTAAAACTATTAAAGTGACCCAAAAAATCCATTTCCTAATTTCACACAATTTATATTACATCTTTCAGAAGTCATCATCACATATTCGACATAAAATGATGCCTACGTTCAAAATGCCTAAACATCATTCAATTCTCGTACAGCTATTTTTATTTATCCACTCAATTGTTTATTCGATTAGTGTACACACAATCTGTTTTCCGCCCCAAAATCAGATTCTTCAACTTGTCTATTGCAAAACAATTTTTTTGCTCTCTTATCCTTCAAGATTTCTTATTAGTGCCTTATTTTCGGGAAGATGTGTTTCATAGCCTTAATATTGTCTTATAGTTATTGGTTATAGAGGCGGTGAAATGGCATCAGTGACCTGCATGGTAGAGCGTTGGCCTTCTGTGCCAAAGGTCCTGGGTTCAATCCCAGGCCATATCTAATTTTCGAAGCTCTTATTCCATTTCACCGTTCTAGTTATGAAGCTCGGTTCGTGTGTTGGGTGTAGTTTTGATGTCTTTGGCACAGAATCTGCCTCCTTTACTAGGTATACAAGGATATACTAGCATCTGGATGACTTCTTTACGGTTTCTTGCGCACACGAATTGTGACTATTATTATTGGTTATAGAATGCTTTTAAGGCTTAAAAGTCCCAACAAGTCAGTACTTGTTATTGTAGTTGCCTTTCCTTTCTTTTTTTGCTGTATTTCACATAATTTTTGTTGTTGTTACCAGCATTGTTGCTGTTTTATTTGATAAATCATTGAATTTCAAGCTTCTTTGGGTGAAAGAGAAAGAAAATCGGAAAATCTCTCGAAATGAGACTACACAACATCTTCATATGAAGCACTTCTATCTTGTTATGTGTAGCGGAATGAAATGAAAGAGTGAGAAAGTGAGATAGACAAGCATATGTGAAGAATACGATCAATTTTTCATTTCTATAGTTTTGCTGTTGCTTGCAATCTTTAATAGAAATGGTAAATAAATTGACTTTTATCGTGTATTATCGTTGAGATATTGATGGCAAATGTTGTTGAAAATCTTCCAAAAGCTACAAAATCAATAATTCAACGAGAGCACTTTGAGAACAGAACAAAAAAAAAATCTTCGTCATTTTTCATTATAAATTTTAAATTTTTTTTTTGTCTGGATGAACATTTGGATATGAGTTTCATTGTATTCTCTCATATAAGCTGTATTGTTGTATCTATAAATATCTTTTTTTATGATGGGAAGGGAGAAAGTCACTATGAAGTGAATCGAGGATGATAGCTTCCCATAGCTTCATCCAATATCTTATATAATATTGTACAATTTTTTTATGGCTCACATTTTGCATGTTGACTTACTCAATGATGCCAAAAACTATGCAGTTTACTACAATCGATTTGCGGGGAAAATCACATAACTTTATATTGGATGGGATATCGATTAGTACTTGAAATTGACACATCCCTTGTTATGGCTCTTAATAAATTTACATTCATTTATTCAATTTGAAATAATTTGTGGTGATGTGTCTGAGAGATAAATCGGAAGTATTAAATGATATGACGTTTTATTTCTAATTTGTTCCCGCTATGTCACTTGAACCAAAATAGAATTTATCTTAACTTGGATGTTTTTTGTATTATTAGATTCTCATAATTTATTCTATAGTGCAATCAGAATTTTGACTAGGGTTTTAATCCTGAGATTAAAATATATGTAGATCCAAGTCAAACTCGGGATTCAGTTCATTTTAATCTCGGGATTGAAAAAACTAGTTTTGACACAAGTTCTTCGAAAAGAGCAGAAACCCTAGCCTCACCTCTGAATTTATTTCCATGTGATTGAAAGAAATAAGTAGAAAATGTAAATGTCTGTCTATACATATGTCAAAAGTAATTAAAGATTGTCAATTGCTTGTACAATCACGTAGTGGGATTCCCTGAAAATCATTGATGTATTCGATATTCGTTTATTTACACCTCAAATATTAAGACATACTTAATGGACCATTAAGAAGACTACATCTGTCTTCTGTATGTTAATGCATGCCTGATTGCAATACAAATATTTGTGTTAAGATTTTGTATTTTTTGATATCTTTCAGCACATTAAATAAATTATTTTTGACTCTATAAAAAAAGTCATTTGACTAAATATCAACATTTAAGATTTTAGCAATGAATAAGTAAAATTTAAAAATTAATCATATTTAAAAGACTTCTTTATTTGCTGAACTAATCAACAGTTTTAAAGCGACGGAGAGTATGTAAATTCGGTAAATGCACAAACATGTTATTATATGATGAGTCGCAAATTATTAAATTCATACTTCGATATAAATTAAATTGAAATAAAGAGGGGGTCGATGGTACTAGGTCGATTTTAGTGTTATGCAATGTCTATTGATATTAGTAATGACAGGTATTTAAAATCTATAAAAATCACTGCAAAATCCATGAATATCATCAGTCGTCTAAGCAAGAGTTTAGCTCAAGAGTGTGTGATTTTAAAATCTTTGTGAATTTTAAAATTAAACTTTTAAAATGGTAAAATTATGCAGTTCTTAACTTGAAAAGAAGTTTAAGTTAATTTATAATGTTTCTATTTTTAGAAAATTTTTATAGTGTTATTCATGACCTGGAATTTGTTTGGTTCCCAGGCACAAATTTCGTAAGTATAGATTTTAATTTTTAGAATTGTATTTTAATAAACCTTTTTGTTTAAGGCTTGACTATTTACCACCACCACCATGTTCGAATCAACAGCCCCCAAGATGTCCTTTACCTCCACCACAAATTCCATGTCCAAGCTGTCCATCTCAACGAAACTGTCCAAGCTGTCAACCTGAAAGAATATGTCCAAGATGTCCAATACCGTTCCCTCCTCAACAATGCAAACCTCCTGTTCAATGTCCACAAATATCATGTCCTAGATGCCCACAAATATTCCAGCAACAACAGCAATGCCCAAGCTGTCCATTATGTCCCCGAATTTTCCCCCCTCCTGCATGTCCAAAACAGCAGCAATGTGACAATCGACAAACATGTCCATTCTGTCCACAACAAAGACAATGTCCACCGGAAAGAATTTGCCCATCTTGTCCACCGAGAATTCAATGTCCAATTCCACAACCACCACAACCATGTCCACAGTAAGTCTTTCTTATTCTTTAACTATATATAAATATATATTGTAAACACTATAACTTAACAAAATATTTATAGACCCCCACCTCAACCGTTCCCAATTCAATGTCCAGCTTGTCCTTCATTTCCCCCACAACGCCCATGTGATTGTGGCCGAACAATAGTAGAAGATGATGGATATGACTATACACCACCAAGAGTTAAGTTCTTTTTTAAGAAATGAGAACCTAAAAAAATAATTTTATAAGAACTTTAAATGAATCTGAATAAATTTGGAATAATCAAGCATACTTGAGTATTTAAGCAATTACTACTAAGCAGACATTTTAAACTAATTAAGATGTGTCATTATTTCATTATTAAAGAATTGATGAACAAACATTTCAACCCCTCCAGCTTGAAAAACAACCATCAAACTTCATATTCCTTAATTTAGATGCCTGTTGATACGTATCCAGCAAAGAAGTAGAAATTCTCATTTACCGTTCAACAAAAAGCGCTCAAAGTCAAAAAAGTTATCAAATAATTGTTCATAATATAATTTCTCACACCCAGAAATAACTCAATACTCTTTCAACATCAGAAAAAAAACAAAAGGGAATAATAGAAGGAGGCAGAACTGAAAAGAATGCGGTAAAAACAAATGAAATTGATAAATAGGCAGGCGGTATAAGAAAGCGGGTCATTGTAATCGCGTGCAAATAAATTTTCCTTACCATAAGCAAAAAATAATGAAAAGGTATAATAGCTTTCGCGATTAACTTTTTTTTGCCTCTCTTTCCATTATTTTCCTTTACATTTTCGTTTCTTATTTTCTCGATAAAAAAGAAAGAAACAAGTTGTGAACATTTTAATTGTGGGATAGACAATGATTTAAACGTCTATTGCTTACATCATTCCATTTTCTATCGATGTGATTAGTTTTGGAAGATGTCTTGATTTTAATCACAACATGATTCACGATATCTAGTTTTGATTTGGATGTGTAACTATGAGCAGTTGCTGAAGTCAGTTTCTAGTGCTAGTGCTATAGTACTCTTAGTCGAATCTTATGGACGGTATTCTCGTTGCTCTAGAAGCCCCGGTCCCAATGCCAAAATGCACTGTTTGTTTTCTTTCATTCAAATTTTTCACTAATTTTGAAAACACAAAGGGATAACAACTTAATGGGCAAAAATTTTTTTTTGTTGACTTTTAAGTTGTATATTAAGCAGAGGTCGAAGCCGACATGACTTCGCTACGATTCGTTAAAAACCCGATTCAAATTTGAATAGAATTTTTTCTGCTGCCACTTGTGAAGCATAACATTTTATACAAATTTTCCAGTTATTGAATCGGTTTTTTTTACGAACTTAGTTGGCTTCGACCTCAGATTTTAAGTCTAATTCATTATATTGCTGTTAAAATTCTTCGCCCACCAAATAATGTTCCCCCTATTCCCATATTTCATAATGTTTTTGAAATTTTTGAACGCAAAACAAAAAGTTCTCTTTTTGTACGCTTTTTTGTTCAAACAAACAATTTTCATACATGCTTCATTCGATTTTCTATAAAGGAAAATGATTTTTTGACATTTGTTGCCGGGAAAACAATTTAATTCGCTCAATTTTCTTTTCATTGTCGTTCAATTATTTTCGAGACAATTACGATAAATTTTTGTGCTGATTAAGATTTTTCACTTCACCACGCAACAATTGTTCAATAAATAAATAATTAAAAAGTTTTTGAAGCACATAATGGCATTTTCACAGACAATAAAGGTGCTTAACATTTTATTTTTGTATGCACCTGTAAATTTGTACATAAAATTTTATAGAAAAACATGAGAAAGCAAATTTTTAACCAACCAAACCAAAACAACCACATGCCACTACTCATTCGCCATTAAGAGCCCTCATATAATGCATATACATTACACTTAACATAACATAACATTATGTGTGCATTGTGTGTGTCCCTTTTAAAGTTGCAATGAAGCGATTTTTTCAATTATTTTACATACCTACTGCTGAATGACGATGTCATGGTGTGTAAAATGACTCGTAGAAAAATTGAAGTTGCATGGAAGAGCCATTTTAGTCTGAACTCTATAGAAAAGGCGATGCATAGCAGATTTCTATGTGAAACTTGTGATTTCTTGTTAAAATCCTTTTTTCATGGTAAGAGGGGGAAAGGGGTCCCCAAAATCCATCCCTGATTATTCTCCTGTTGTGACTATAACTGGGATCATTTGATTGTTTATTTTTTCATTTACTGTATTTATTTACAAAACTTTTAAGTACGAGAGAAGTTCCATTCTTTAGAAAAAAAAAATCTTTTGTTACTTTTTATTTCACTCTCTTTTCTAAATGGTTGTACTGTTCACTTCACGCGCCATAATCGTAATTTTTTACCTGTGAAAAAGCATTTTTTCTCGTGTTTTCATTTTATTCTGTACAACAAGCTTGTACAGATTAAATGTGATAAGTTTCATTTTTAAGTGGTCGACTTGTTGAGAAATGCTACATGTTGAGCCTTAAGGAACAATTTCTTCACATTTTAGTTCCTTAAAGTTGTTTTTTGTGAAAAACAAAATCAAAGTTTTTATCTATCGATGTATGCCGTCAGCAGTTTTGTTCATACTTCCTGCATTTTTCATTCCTTATTTCTCATCATCAACACAAATAACAAATAAAAAGAAATTTAAATAGAAAGACAAAGTAGATATGCACAAGATTATTTGAAGTAATTTTTTGTAAACTCACCTTGCTCATGATCTCATGGAAAAACCAGCAACAATGCTAAGTAGTACACAACAGATAAACATGGATGATAGAAATACAGACAGACTGATGAATAGATATTTTCTTATAATATAAATATTTTTTTCCACTTGTCAAGTGCTGCATAGAAGGATGGATAGAAAGAAAGAAAGGAAAAATAACCGGAGATACGCGGAGATCTACACCATCAACAGAAGAGGAGATTAATGAGCCTGAAGACAGTGTAAAAAATGTTTCATTGCCCTTATATCACTTGCAATAAAAACAACAAAATGATTAAGTGCAAAAGTACTGTTTCCTTCTTTTCTTACTTTTTTCTTTTGCTTGCTTATTTTTCCCTCATTTTCTGTGTCTTATTGTAGTGATTCTTCTTTGCTTACAAACAATACATGGCAAGCTTTTTTTTCTTCTCTAAATCTACTGCAGGTTTTTGGATTTTTTCTTTATTGGAGTTATTTGGTTATGATGTCAATCAAAAATTTGGATTTTAGGACATCCTCTTTCCTTGTCACTAAACAGCAGTTGAAATAAAAAGTGGCAAGGCAGGATTCAGACCGTCGGCTTTAGAGAAACCGCACTAAATTTGAAACCAAAAATCTATTTTATTGTGAGGCTCATACCCGCCCCTCCTAGGAGCGAAATCTCAGTTTTAACCTCCTCTTAACTTGCTTCAAAAGCTCATACTTACTTACTTCGATGACCTTACAGATCAGTTGTGATCCATGGCCTCCCTCAGATGCCACCTTAAATTGGCTTTATCGCTGGCTACCGATTGCCAATTTCCTATACCAAATGCAATACTATCTCTACCAACAGCCTCTTTCCGTGAGTTCTTTGGTCTTCCACGTGCTCATTTTCCATTCACAAAGTCCGACTTAAAGACCTTACTTAGTGAAGCTTCCACAGGTGCAGCCCATCGGAGCCTGTTTACTTTAATACGTTTAATGCTATCAGCTTCTGTAAAGAGCTGATACAAATCTCGAAAGCTTATACTCTAGGGAAAAATATTTGAGTATACCGAAATAACGTTCTTGCCTATAGAATGATGGACATCACCACTAAACATTTAAGTAAAACAAAAATTCAAAGACAATCCCTCATTTGTAGACTCACATAACTTTAGATTCATTGAAAGAAGCTTTGATTGTAAACATTTATAACCATCATGTAGCTTAGCAGCAGGATATCAGAAAATTGTTGAAATGCGCTTTACTCATTGGCTTATCACTTTTTGACTAATTTTCTCCTCATTTTTTATTCTTCTTCATTTTATTTTATTTTTATATTTTGACATTCTCACCTCGCTTCAAAATGAAATGTGATTTTGTTGTTTATGGAAATGAGATTTTCTCTTAGTCTCCTTTTTTTTCATTCTATATGCATGTTATATATTCATTGTGATGATGAAATGAGGAAATAAGGGAAATGAAAGAAAATTTTTAAAGAAGAAAAAAAAATGTAAGTGATTGTAATTTGCCGTGATGTTATTTTCGATGATAAATGGATAAAAATTGCTTGACATACATGAAGGTATCTCTATTTTGTTCGTGATACATTAAAAAATTGTCTATGACAAAACATTTACATGAGGAAATAACACATTGCTAATCTGAATGACAATTAGCATTAGGATAAAAAAAATATAATTCCTTTTTATCTCATTGCAAATTTTATTGTCATAAAATGTGTGTTTTTTTAAATCCACACATTTATTGTTCTCGTTTCTGTTTTCAGCAATTGTGTTTATGATTCTAAAGCAAATTTACGTTGCAAGCTAAAAATGAGAATGTGATATAATAATAAACGTTCGTGCTTTTGAATTGCGAAAAAATTTGAGGGGAAATCTTGGCTCGAAAAAATCATGCGCAAAACATAGAAATGACAATTGCGATATCAGTATCAAGTAGCGGAAATTTATTGAGTTTCTATCGCTTTTGTGACACTCTTTACGTAGTGAAATGTCGAGTAGAATGATATTAATGAAAACATCTTTTGTGGAAGTATTTTACTTTGTGAGTAGCAATATGAAAGCGATGTGTGGATATACTTTGCTTTAATCTTAGAAGTCTAACAAACGTTGGCTGATTAAAATAATTCTAAGCAGTTCTACACTACTTTAGTTTTGGTTTACACGTTGAAAATTTTACTCATAATTACTCACCAGCCATCTTTATTGATTAAATCTTTTTAATTCAGAGCAGGATTTGCAATACAGGCACATGTGCACAGGTGAGAACCGTATAATTCCTTGATAATTTATAAGGTTTTTCAAGCAAAACCATACAAATTCTAACAAAACCTCTCAAATTATCAAGGAATTGTACGGTTCTCACCTGTGCACAAGTGCCTGTATCGCAGCCCTGATTCAGAGTCATAAACGCGGTCTCCATAGCGTGGGTCGAAACGGGACTACCGTTTTTTATGGGATGGGATTTTTATCTCAAATTATCTTCGCTAAAAGGTTTTGGAACAACACCCAACCTTCTTATATGACTTCACTCCAAAGCATGATCCCTTAAATGAATCAAAAATAATACGACGTAGATTCACCATGAAGGGCTTTTACTGGAACGGACCTGGAGCCATTGTGACCTACTGAAAATTTGAACGAGAGCCGAAATGAACACTAGTTCTAAGATTTATAACAGTTTTTAATTAGCTGCTGGACTCAACTGCTTAGTGAAGATTATGCGCTATACACTGAGGTAGCGTACATAATAGAGATTTTAGAATTATAATTATTAAGAATAAAATTGTAGCGCTTAAGGGTTTAGTAACACTGTTGCACAATTTAATATGAATAAAAATTGAAATTGAAATAAAACCTGCCAAAAACCGTTAATTTATCCTACAAACATGAGCAGGAATTTTCAAAAATTTTCAGAGAGAAAATCTGATTTTTCTCTCGTGAAAATTCTCATTCTCTTTTAAAGGATCAGCTTAACATTTTCCTTTGTGTATCTCCAAAACATTTCCTTTGCATTCCTTTCAAGCATTTTTTTTAAATTACCATTTTTCAAATCAGATGTCGCTTGAATCAGGATAAAGATTTCCAGAGCATCTCTTGCCAATTTTTCAAATAATTTTAAGCTTTTGATGAAAGCTTCAAAATATATAAAAGCTATTGTGCTAATAGAAAATTCAATTTTGTTCTAAAAATATTAGCACATTCATCGCAGCATCATATCCTTTCCACACCTTTCACAGTTGTTCAGTATACATGCATCTTTTGACCAGATCAGACATAAAAGAACAAAGCGGAATCTAAATATCAGTTTTTAACAGTAATTTGGTGACAAATATTGGAAATTATTAAATTATTACATAACGGAAGTCAATGAATATTTTTTGGGTGGTTTAAAAATTAAATCTAAGTGTTCACTTGATAATCAACAACTCATTTTATAAAGTGGAAACTCATGTATTGTGTGTGGTTGATCAATTATTGACGTACATAAAAAATTGATTGAATATAAATATTTGAATGAGTAACAGTGAGTAAAGTATAAAAGAAAAGAAAGGAAAGAGGAAGAGGAAAGTGCATAAATAAGTGTGAAAATTATTGATCCTTTGTGTGCTCTTCAATTTTAAGTGATTGCTCACTTTACTCCCTACAGTACATTATTTTGTATGTGTTGGCAATTAATCACAAAAGGCATATAAGTGAGATAGAAATTATAGAGGAAGTAGAAAAACAAACAACTTCACAAAAACGACAATGGCCACTTATTCCTCATTAATGCTCTTCCTGGTGCTTATATTAGTTTTTACGATCGCCTCAACAAATGGCTTACAATGTTACCAATGTGGACAATTTAACGATGGCGTTGGTTCAATTACACCATGCTTGAACTATACCGAGACCACAGCTCATTTACATCTTAAGGAATGTCCAGGGAAGGGCGATAAATTTTGTGTGGTAAGACAAATTGAATGAAAAGATCCTCATTCATATTTTTTTGTTGTTTCTTTTTCATTTCCCTTCAGATTCATTTTGATTATAATTTTAATTTTGCAAATGTCATCAAATATATAAATTTGTTAGCTTAAAAATAAAGATGTGAATCCTAGCTGTTAGTGGTTTGTCTAATTGTCTAATCCATTGTTGATCAAACTTCAATTCCTTTGTCTGTCAACAAAATTCACGTAGAGTTTAGAATAATTTATTATTTTAAGGATTTGTAAATGAAACCTTAGTGTCGCGGCACCTTAATGTGTCGCAGCACACAGGTTAACCACCACTGGTCTATTCATTTAAGATTTAATTTTATAAAGAATAATTTTAATTTATAAAATTCTTCAACAGTATATTCATGACTTTGTAACTTGGTTATCTTTCTATACATAATTCGTATTTTCTCATATCTCTCGGTTTATCTGATAGCTGTACAGAAAATATGCTAAAATAATTTTAAAAAGCTAAGCGTTGAGAAATACAAAAAAATGCTTTCTTTATTTAACTTTTTCAGCTAGTTTTTTGTCGTCTTTTTCTCTAGCTGTCCTAGAAACTTTCTCATACTGGCCAGTTTGTCATTCATGATGTTTAATTAAATTTTTTTTTGTCGTTCAAATGTATATGAATAGAAATACATTTTTAATAACTTTTTCATTTATAAATCAGCATTGCAGGAATAATTTTAAAGCCTTAAAATAATATGTCATTTATAAATTTTCAAATAAAAGTAAAATATCCACCGTATTGTAGTTATCTAATCTAATTATAAAGAGTTCATGATTTATCGATTAAAATTTCCTTTATAAATCATTGCAAGCCTATTTATAAATTCTGTTTATATTCAAAATACGACCGCATCATAGATAAATTTTGATGATTAGAAAATAATTGCTATTCAGTATTATGACTAAGATATCTTATCAGTGACTTATTGGATTAGAAAATTTAAATTATTCAATATTTCAAATGTTAATTATTTAAATGAATTATTATCAATTTAATATCAAGGATGCGGAACTGATAGATCAATCTGACTGGTTTGATATCCAATAAAATTTTCATCACTAGAATATTTTTTTTAATAGCTTCAATTGCTCAAATTGCTTCTCATTACCATCAAACTAAAGTTTCTTAAGTTTGGGTCCTTAACAGTAAAAATTGAAAAGAAGTTCTTTTCATTCAACTAATTAAAAACACTTTAAACAGCTTGAAAGTGATATTGCTACCTTTATTGTCCTACAAGCTTCATATCTAATATCAATTACCATTTTCTTTCCAACAAAACTTTTAATTCTCAACCACAAATTAGCTTTTACCATTTCCTACGTTTAAAAGAACAATAAATTGGAGAAAAAAAAGTTTACATTCTTTTTTCCACTTACCATTATCTTCTTAGTATTTCCTTCCTTTCCTGCTCATATTAAATTCTCTTTAATTTTCTATAGCTTTTATATGTTATTCTTGAGACCATGAGTGGCATACTACGAAGGATTAAAATTTGAATTTAATTGAATTTAATTTGAAAATAATGTGAATGTTCTCTGGTAGCAGAAGCAATTTGAGTATCATATTTTATGTTAATTGTTGTTGTAGAAGCATTTTCAATGTAGGTGTGTGGGAAATTTGTTTTTGTGGAAAGTAAATTTATGATCATGCTTTAAGAGATTTTTTTTTTTCAATTTTCACAACATTTTTGCTGAGACTTTCAACAGATTCTAGAGTATGAAATTTAGTATCATCATGTATGTGAAAGAGTTTGAGATTTTAAGATACCTATTAAAAATCGGGGTCTGAAATTTAAATGTTCTATGTAAACAACCCCCTAACCTGCAATATTGATTAATATAAAGCAAAAAAAAAATCAATAATTCACAAATCTTATGTCAAAAGTTTAAAGTGATTCCATTATTCTTCAACCATTTATTGAATTACTTATTCATGCTTTGTTAGTCACACTTCCAAATAAATTACCTTTACCTGCGCCTTACAAATTACTTGTCTACTGTACAAAAAAAATGTCTTATATTGTATGTACAACCAAAACAGCCAAAAAAGGACAAGAAGGTAATGTTGCTACTTATTGTAACAAGGGCGAGCACTTTTTGTCAATATTGTGTAAATATTAAAACAAAAAGAAAATTATTCATATTTTATGCTTTGTTGTTGTTTCATTACTGAATCTTTAAGATCTTTTATTTACAAAGCATCAATATCTCAACAAGGAACAAAATAACAAGTGCCAAACTACAGAGAATCTTTCGAAATCATCATAATCTTAAATTTTCGCTTATTAGTATTCAGTGTAGTTGCGGAACAATTTTTATACAAATAATAAAGTTACTGAGCATATCATCCATTCCATAATATTCAAATCTTCAGAGTATCAAAAGATGTAAAAAAATTTTTTTACACTTTTGTTTTGTTAAAATATTCAGTTTTCTTGTCACTTTTTTTTATAGCCAAACTCAGATTTATAGCAGCTCGTGAGAAACATTTTATATCGTTGTTAGTGACAAAACACGACTTTCACTTATTCTTGTTCTAATTTTGTCACAAATTTAACTTTTAGTAGCTTACAACTCAAGCGTATGCGGTAAAAACAAGAATATTTTCGTTCTATAGAGAAGAAAATGTAGTTTATGTCGCTTTTAGAGACTGAAATGAGAATGAAAAGGAATGTGAAAAAGAAAGACGAAGAATATTTTCATTTTTGGATGAAATCAGACGAGGAAAAATGTTTCTGGAGCTACTATAAAAGTAGTGCTTCTCAAACCGCGTATCACGGTACACTTAGTTGCTTTATAATTGAAGTTAAGCTTAAACCAAGGGTGCGGTACTCATTAAATGATCAAAATGTAATTTATCAGTTCCGTACCCTTGGTTTAAAACTCAAGATTACAAAATGATCCCACGAAATAAAAAAGTTTGAGAAACACTGTGCTTGTGAAAGATTTTTGTGAATGAAAATAGAAAGCAGTGTAGGAACATGCAAATGAAAACATATTAATCATCTGATTTAGTCTTTTATGTGAATGAAAGCTTTTGCAAGTCATTTATGACGAAATATATTGTTGTATATACGATAAAAATATTGTTGGATTATTTGATATTTATGGAGATATTAATGGAAATTTCAGGTTTTTCCATCTCCGGCTTTTATTTTTCCATAGTAAATGCGTATGTGATTATATTCATAAATAAGTATGTATTAAGTTCCCACGAGATTATTGGTATTACATGGAATAAAGGGGATATAAATGAATAGAAAGGCACAAAATTCCTTCAGGGAAAAAAGAGCTATTTTTGTGAACAAAACTATTTGTAAATAGAAACAAGATTACCTGGGATTATTAATTTATTGATTGCCACAAAAATAAATCATGTCCAATATTCATTGTTCACTTCTACTTATTTTAAATATTTAATTTGAAAGAATAACATTCATGCATTTGGTACTTAACTTTCTTTTAATGAGATTTCGGTAAATGCATTTAATCCACACATGAAAAAAAATTTGTTTTAAATCGAAACTTTTATAGCTCGTTGGCATTTTGCAGTAAAATTATTTAATGGAATTTTAAAATCCGAAATTTAAATTTTATAAGGGATTTCATTCAAACTTTATAATCTTTTCAATCCTTCTCTCTTTTTAATGCTGTTCTTTTACTATTTTTCATTTTGAGCTACTTTTATTCATCTTACAAATAATAAAACAAAATTTTTGTGCTTCTTCTTCTTCTCTTAGGGAGTCTATAAATTTCTTTTTGAATCTTGATACCAAATGATACATGTCTTTTATATAGTTCACTTAAGGGACATTTATAAATGACATTCATCAAATATGAATAATTTTGTACTACTTGTGTCACAAAAATCGATGTTTTTTGAAGAATAGTCACACGACGAGATTGTAGGGATCATGTTAAGGGATTTACCCTGAAGAGCACAATTTGGCGAATCGAATAGAAATCCGTGACTCAAGCATGGTGCTGGCTTCGATTAAAATAAAGCACCATGAAAGAGTCATACCGGCTTGGTGCAGGATTTCTATCGATTAACCGACTTGTGCCATTTGGGTATGGGATCTAAACGTAATAAGTGAGCTAAACGAGTAACAATTTTTTGAATTTTGGGCAAGACTAGATTTTTAAGACAATGAAAAACTAGAAGGCAAATTCCATTATTTTGATATTTCCTTCCTTAAGAAAGTGTGAGAAAAATCTTAAATTCCAAAATAAATTGCTTTCATTTTTCAAGCAAACAAACTTTATCTTTTCATATTTGCTTTTCTGTTTTCTTCCTTAACAAGCGAGAATAATAATAATGATGCATATGTCAGTCGCAAATTAAAATTCATGACGTAGCGCGTATGGTGTGAAGTTGTAAGAATTAATATAAAGAATGATAAATTGTTTGTTAAAACCATCTTATTAAAGCTGCTTATAAACATGAAAAGAAAAATCTCAAAGATTTAGATAAGCATAATAAAATCAAATATGACTTGATTTTATTAGTAAAAGACACAAAAGGCAACCGTACCCTGTCAGAATTTGAAATCATTTGGAAAAGCTAATTTTACGCTTGTTTAACTCTGGATGCTGTTAAGGTTGTGTAATGAAAGCATTATATCCGGTCGCCAATAACAAATGTGGGTTCGAATGGCAACAAAGATTTTTTTTCTTATTTGATAAATTAACCTTTACATTGGAATGTATTGTATCTGCTGTTTTTGATACGCCATCATTACTATAACAAAGCCTAATATGATAAAAATGTATCATTTTCTTTATCTAGAGCAGAATTAAGTATTACGTATGAGAAAAAATCAATCCCTGATCTGAAGGTATAGCCAAAAATGACAAAAATGAAGGTATTAACTCCCTCTTGCTATATTCTTTCATCGGACAACTATGAAATATTTATTATATTACTTTCCGTTTCCCTATGACCCAAATAACATTTCT